TTCCCAGTACGTGCAAAAATAATTCCTATATAATCGAGCTCGATCGGATAACAGTAAAGCCCGAAGTTTAATGCGGAAAACTGCATTCGCTCTGCCGCTCCGCCAATTGGCACAACAATATTGTCCATTTACATGGCTATTATTTGTTTTTATTTACTAATACGCAGTCGACTTTTTAATACCTTTTCAAACGAAGGGCGTGTTCGATTCCAATAGCTTTTGCAACCATTCTACCCGAGAGATTTTGATCAAACTTGCGCAGGGTTGTAACGCGACCAAAAATAAGGGATGCACGTCTCTGTCGTAACTCAGCATTAAGGGGTGAAACTACCCTCAAAAGTTCAGCCATCTGATGCTATTTTTAAAACTATCGGATATTCAAGGGAGTCTTCCAAGCAAACTTTATATGGCTTTTAGTGAATAATAATACTGTGCAGACATCGGTAAAAAAGTAAATAAGAAAATCAAAAAATTATTTACGAACTTTCATCGAGTAGATAACATAATTTCCGGTATTATTGGAATTTAAATTATTTTTTTTTATTCTTTAAAATAAATAAGTAAACATATTAGGTCGGAAACTAAATTTAAATAGAATAGTACAAAGATGTTTCTTGCGATATTTGATTCACGGTTTCGCTGCTACTCTCAGCGAACTTTGTCTACGATTTAATGAGACACGATCAAAGGGGTCTCGATCAGATTACGCAAAGTTGCGGCGAACGAAATGAAGCGCGATGGAACAAAATATATTTAAACGCGTAATTGCAGTTATAAATCAGCGAATCGTGTTTGAAGAGGATCAGGAAAGATTTCCAGGCAACGCGGTGTGTCGTTTTACGTGATTGCGACCGCTGTTTCGCGTTTTCCGCTCGGCGGTGGCTCCTCATCCCTTTATTATTCTCGTTTTTCCGCGGACCGGCCGCAAATTCAACCGGCTGTTTTATCTGCAGTTATAGAAGCCATACGGCCGTGCCAAATCTGATTAACTCGTCGCTGCTCGTCGTTTCGTGCAGCACGATTTTTAGTGGGACATGCAAACACACGGTCCAGCCATCGTCAAAGACATCCAACCTAGCTAGAGGCTGCCGTCTATTGTTACCTCGGACTTTTGTGGACCGTAGAACGGATTGTTTTCGGCCTCACCGGCGACAGTTTTCATTTTGCCATTCAGGAAAACGCTGAAAGTTTTTGTTACACCTTCGTGTTGTCCCAAAGTATTCGCCAACGAATGGCGGTGACTTAAAACCGACGCGGAAAGCACTTTACGAATACGTTCTCGAACGGTGAATATCGTGGACCGATAGTTATTGCCGATGGATCGGTAACATTTTACCCAAACGCGAATAGAATTTCTATTTAACTAAATTTAACAAATTCAGTTTTCTTTTTAGCTGACACTAGTATCATTGTCTTAAGATATTGATGCGTGTTGTACACAGTTGAACGCGATAGTATATGCGGCAGGGAGCCATTAGTTTCAATTTGCAAATATAATTCCGGGAGACGTGAGGTAGTCAAGCTCGAGTTCCATGAAAATAACAGGATCTCGTGAATTTATAGAACGCAAGTAGAAACACGGTTGCATAAGTCGAAGGATATCAAATGACATTAACTGCATTGGAGAAGAATATTCTTTTATGTTTGCGAACGTTGAATCGTATAAACTTCGTAGTAATTAAATTAGAAATACCGTGTACAGAAAGTATATCTTTAAATGAAATAATCTCTGAGTAAGGAAGCTTATTACAAAAGCTTTCTTCTTTCACTCGTGGTTTTCTTTCATTACTTAACGAGGATGCTATTTTATCCCAATGTTCCGTGTCACGAATTTTATCAAAATCGCGTGGTTGCTTATCATTCGTACGTTTCAACTTCTCGATGGGCCGCGGTGTCTCCAACACGAGAAACAGCTATCTACGTCAATGATTAAAACGAATCCGTATAAATGGAGGAAGCGACTTTTGAAAAGCGCGTCCTCTTTCTGTTGACGCTTTCAAAGCATCGACCGGGGTTGATACGATCGAGAAATGGATGCATTCACGGCAGCCGCGGTGTTTTATTCGTTTTCTACCCCGAAAAGCCGGAAATACGTACGACTCGAGCCGAAGGAGAAGAAATAGGCGGACAGAAGCGACACTAGCCAAATAAGTCAATAGCTCGACACGTTCGAATGGCTTTCGGCAATTCGCTCGTCGAATCCATTTCGATAGAATGAAAATATATGAACAGGGCCAAAAGCGTCTTAAAAGGTGTTCACCTGGAGCATTATATCCGTGAAATTGTTCCCCCGTTACGATAAATCTCTTAAAAAGACCGATTTACCGAACGTTTGCTTGGAAGTATCGCTTAGAAAGCTTGCATTCTTCGAAATACTCGACACGTCGAATAGCTTCTAGATACAATGATTGCCCATCATTGTTATTCAATTTGCTTATTCTCATATTCCATTGTTAAAATTTATCCTGGAACGGATCGAATCAAACCTGTCAAATACATATTCCACTATTTGAATATACGTAACGTAGGTGTTAAACAATTCCGTCCACAGAACTGTATTTAACCAAGCGATTATTTCCAGGAACTCGACATTCCATCCTTCAGGCATGGGTGCGCGTCCATTAATATTGTAGAATTGTGTCACCAGGACTACTTGTTTCATTTTCCGCGCTTACACTGCTAAGCACGCAGGCGAGTGTTGGAAGAACGAGACATTAATTACATTAGAATGAAACGCGCTTGGTTGCCTAGACACTTGGCCTAGCAAGAATCCTCTAGCGGGTAAACGAGCCAGCAGAACCTGGTCAGAAACGGGGCATTCTCTTAACCTTTGTATTGTTGGTGGTATTATAAAGGGTTGCGACAAATTGCCTAGAAGAGAAAATCTTTTCTCTCGGCCGGCTGAAAGCTTTGCACCTTTGACGACCATTACGCCGGGTGTTTACTTTCGCTATCGAATTACTTTCACCGCGAACGAAAATTGATATAACTAATGGAAATAATTTTTAAATTCTGCATTTTTTAATTCACCTGAAATATTTACAAAAACATCGATTTTTGAATCGCAGATTTAAGTATTTTTTTTTTTTGTTTGAACTAGCAGCTTTCGTTCGTTTTACGGTTTAGTCTTCGTAGAGCAATGGCTCTAATTGACCCGGCTCGAAAAAGAGTTTTACAAACTGTAAAAATACTTCTACCGTCTGTGGGTCTCTCGCGAAACTTCGATGGACCATTTAATTAGATAGAAACGAGAAAAATGGAGCACTTTGTGCCACGGCAAATCACTTTCGGGTCAGAAGAATCGCGACGCGGGCGGAAACACGAAATCCTTTTACAGTTTCACCGTTCCTTCGATTTAAATCCTTTATACGTTTCGTTCGATGGTTTTGTTTGCACGTATTATCGTTACCGCGACGGAGGGGAAAAATGGGACATTACTGAATTGTATCAAAGAGACTCTCGGAGAGAATCCACCGTCGGGCTGGTTGGGTAACGCACCGTGGTCGGAAATGCGAATTCTCTTTACTTCACCATTGTCCACCGTGCTATGATGGGGGTATATTTGCTCTTCTGAGAAAGTAAACTCCCGGAGCTTTTCATACGCGCGCGACTCGAAGCGCTAACCCAATTTTGCCGGGACGACGCCAGCGGAGGTTCGGCAGCTACGTATTCGCAGAGAGAGCCGGTTATTTGCCTTTCTGCACGGCTCTGCGCGGTACCGTCTTTTATGCAAAATATTGGAAAAGATTGGAAACGTCTGTCTTGGATGGAAGCGTCGCTGATAGTTAACATAATATCATTCCGCCAGGAAATCCGCGCGGTAGCTTAAAAATATTTTTCTGCCGGCTTCCCACCGCGCTCGGGAACATCTCTGAATTTTTAAGAACGACAAAAGATGTCTGGGAAATACATTGCCGTGGGAAGCGATTAGAGAGTGCTTCCTTTAACGCGTGCATCTCAACTATCTCCGTTTGAAACGCTTCGTTTAATACCATTTGTACAGAATATTCTATAATTCAACCACGTCACGAACATTTTACCAAACAAGAAAGTTGTATCTTTGCTTACAATTATCAACATACATTTTTACACAAAGCGGCGAAGGACATACAAAAAGATACGTTCTCGAACGAGGTACGAAGAACGCCCCCGCAATATGATGTTCGAACAATCGTATAGTCACGAAATCTGGGATTTGCGATTCGAAACACGTGACGCCCGAGCGTGTAACGTCGTTTCCAGATGACGGCGGGACATTTAATTTTATAGCACGAACAGAATCGTCTAGACGGAAAGGCCGACCGTGGAAGTGGAACGAAAGGTACACAGAGCTAGTAAAGAAGTTTTCAAAGACAACATCGAGTCTGATATATAACGAATTCATTCCACTCCGATGCCGCGGCAAAAACTGCAAGTGGAGATCTCTTCACCGATCCGCCATTCTGTCTTCGTCTCACGTTCTTTGGCCGCTCTAGCGTCCGGGAAACGTGAAAGAACTCTCTCGTGAATCATTCGTCCAAGGTTCGCGAGATTATAATTTTATAAAGAATTATTGGCAACCGAGGAGCGTACTTTGATCGTTCAAGTGTTCCCTATTACGGATCTTGCATTCTGTTTTGCAACCATTAGCTCGCTTTTGTCTTGGTACCGGGCACGCTGCTCGAGATAAAACAAGGTTTATGAAATCCACGAAACAAAAGGTTCGTTCGTTTAGTTAGAAGATTGTTCGCTGGCACATTGCATTCAAACTTCCCTGATGAAAACAAACGATTTTTTGCTCGATTTTTCAAAACTTTGCTCGACCGCGACAGCAGTAGAAGAAGGTACTCTTGATAATTTCGTGTACGTTCTAAAAATCAAAAGAAGTAATTGCTAAGTAAAGATATAAGAAAATATTTGTAATATTTGTAGATCACTCTGTAGAAATCGCTACGTCACGAGTAAGCATGCTTCTAAATCGTGCAAAACTCAAACGCATGACAGTTCTCTGTAGTCCTTACCTCTGATTCCGGCGACTGAACGATCAGGGACGTTCTCGGTGGTTTTTCGGGCGGTACTTTCTTCAAGGTACCCGTGAACGAAGTGGTGGAAGCACCGCCGGGCGAGGCTGAAGCGCCCTCGTGGCCGTCGATCTGACATTGAAGCCGATGGAACTGCGTGAACGAAGCGCGCGATGTGTCAGCGCGTTCGAATTGCGGGAGACACGGCAATGGCATCTGTGACATGTTCGGTATCTGAATAGAATTCGGGTCGCCTGTATCGTGTTGAAGCCTCGGCGACAGCTTCTCGCGGACAGACGATTGGCAGGATTGATGATTAGAGTTCTGTGAATAGGAAGCAGTCAATAATGTTTGATGATGACTGTGCGACGGATGCTGGCTTTGCGACGGGCAAGTCTTATCGGTCTGTTCCTGGTGGTTAGGTAGAGAATTCGATTGAACCTGATGGATCTCGTTCCCGATCGCGTACTGCTGAAAATCCGTGGATCTTTGCAATTTATCGCACAGCTGATTCTGCACCTGTATGCTCTGCAGACGCGCCTGAAAGTCGTTCTGTTGGTGTTGAAACTGCGCCACCTTGTCGAGTATTTGATTCTGATTCTGAAGACACTGCAACTTCGCTTGTAAATCGCTCTGCTGACGTTCGAACTGGCTGAGCTTCTCTGAGATCAAATCGAGGCTACGTTGATTCTGTAATTGTTGCTGCTGCGCTTGCAGGGAATCCGGTTTGTCGTTCTGCGCGTCTAGCTGACTCTGTAGATTGTCCGTTTGGCTTTTGCTGTGAGTCAGTAGATTGCTCGAATGATTGTAACTTTTGCGATGGCTGTGTATTATGTGATCGACTTGATCGATCGGTTTGTTCAGATTCGCATCGCCGAAATCTGTCACTACCGTCAGCACCGTCTTGGTGTCTAACTTCGCCTCGCTGAGGGCCGGATACTGATGACATATGTTCGGACTGGCTCTCTGCGAAGGAACGGTGCTGACCGTGGGTCCAAGGTTGGCCACCGAGCCGCTAATCGGCTGATCGTCGAACTCCTTCCTCGAGAGTTCCATGTGCTTCGTCAAATCGGCGCTCACGTGACGCAGATGACGACGCTGTTCCATTATCGTGCTCTGACTGATGTTGGGAAGCGGTTGGAAAGCCGACTGCGTCATTCTCGTCTCCTTTCGTTCCTCCGTCTGATGCAAGGGCCGTGAATCTCTTCTTTCCTCGGACTGATTTCTGGAACGCGGGCTCGTGGAGAGCATCTGATTCTGCATCATGCTCTTCTCGTGCTCCTGACGTTGCCTCTGCTCGGCCCATATCGCTAGCTCCTGCCTCGTCTTTTCGAAATTCTGGTTCACAAACGACGGGCTCTTTTGGCCGGCGCGATCCGCCGACGCTTCCCGGATCGGCACGAACGGCATCGGCGATCTTCTAACGTCCTCCATTCTCTTCGCTTCTATAGTCATAGGCGATCTCCTGTGCTCGTCGAAGTAATCGGACCGTCTGTTTTCTTGCGGCAACGCCGCTCTTTGATTAGGGCTGACGTTACCCCATTCTGGCTTCCTATCAGCCCCTATGCTCTTCCTATTTTCCTGTCTCGTATCAAAAGCCATCGGTGATACTCTTAAGCTCGTATCCAATCGCCTTTGATCAGGCGGGTACACTTGATTGGCTTCGACTCGTTTCGGATCCACCATGGTACCGGTCTTCCTGGCCGGTATCAATATTTCCTGATTCGTATCGCCCGGGAACGTGAAAGTAATCGTGTCGTTTCGCCGCGGGAAGCTCGACGTCACGTCGATGGAAATAGATTTTCTGTGTTCGGGTCTGGCCACGTACAGCCCGCACTCGGTGGCCACGGCCTCGCAAATTTTTTCCCGCCCCGGCGGATCCCCGTTCGTGTCCACGTACAGGCCATCTTGCCTCGTTCGTGGAGTCTGATTGATGGTCGTCAGGTATCGTCTCTCTTGGCCGTCGGCGATTATCTGCGCGCCTTGCACGATGATCGCCCCATCGCTACGGTGTATCTGATCCTGCGGAGGGTTCTGATTAGGATCGTACTTCGGCTTCTGCATGCCCGGTACGTCGACGCTCGCTGACTTCCTGTGACCGGTGTCGTGGGTGATCTTCGAGTTGCCGCGCGGAGGAACCATGGGTTTCGGTCCGCGACTCGGCCTCTCGGTCGCTGCGATGGCGATGCCGTGGGCCACGTTCTGGGCGATCGGTTGGATGATCGGTTGCGTTTGGTATTGGGCCAAGTCTTGGGAGAATCTCTGCGGGTTCGGCGACTGCTGGCCGAACTGTTGCGCGGGATACATCCCTGCGTGCGGAGTGTAGGGAACCGCGTTCATCACCGTTTGAGGATATTGGCTGTAGGAGTATTGAGGCTGCGTGCCGAATTGAGCGTAGCTTGGTGGCTGAGGCACCACGACTCCCGAGAAGTATGGCGGCTGGGGACTGGCTGACTGAGAGGGTATATGGGATCCGTGTTGAACCGTCACGTACTGACCTTGACCAGCGAACACTGGATTCGTTGCGCCTCCTTGATACAATGCCGGATCTCTGTACGTGACGTCTCTGGTCACGTAACCAGCCCTATCGGTGTACTGCGCTTGCGGAGGGTACATTTGCGGTCTTATCTCGAACTGATTTCGTATCTGGGTGTACTGGGTTTGATCGTAATCCGGCACAAACTGAGGGTGCGTTTGGACCAGCAGGGTCTGAGTGCTGGGTTGAGAAACGTGTTGCGTCTTCTCGATGGCCGGTTTCTCTTGGGTGTTGTATTGTTGGGGCGGGAGTTGTCCGGTCGGAGGATGCCTGTCTTCCGGGAGACCTACCACGGATTGCCTTCTGCCACCCGGATATTGACTAGTCTGTTGAGTCTGTTGGTGTTGTTGATCCTGATTCTTCCCGGTCGTTTGATTCGGTTGAGTCTTCTCTTGGACGAATCTGTCGTACTCGATGGTTCGGTTCTCGAAGCCATTCGACAGATCCTGCTTCGCGTTGTCGGCTGGCGGCTCCGCCCGGCCGTTCTGACACGTCGTCTGTTGATTTTCCATCGTCTGACCGGCTTGGTTCTGCTCCTGGCTATCGTTCGCGCCACCCGACCCGGACTGCGACATGTTGGCGGCCCCCACCGACGGTCGTCCGCCGATGTAGCCGAGAATTCGCCCCAATCCACACACCGTGACGACTTACCGAGCAACTCTCCGTTGGAAATTTAGATCCTCGCTCGAACGCAATCGTCGCGGATCGCGTTATTGTGCCTCGTGGATTTCGCTAGGTCGACTCGAGGCATGTAAACGCCGATATCGTCTTGTCTGTCTTCGCGTCGATCTTCTAGAGTTTATAAAGTTTCTTCCTCGGTTTAAATTTTCTTTGTACAAAGTGGATATAAATATCGACGAAATTCCATTAAAATCGCTAGCTGGACAGCTTAATTTTATTAATAAATTCTTTTCGCCGGTGTTTCACCGCGTCTCTCTTTCGCAACTGTCGTGTTTGCTTCGTTAATAAATTGCAAATTTAGCGAATAACTTCGTGCAAAAATTTTTAAGCGTTTGTACAAGTTGTTCTTTGAGCTCGGACCTCGTATTTCTCGTTTCCCGGTGCGTGAAAGGGAATACGCAATTGCGAACGTAATCTCTTTTATTGCATCCTTTTGATTCTCTTTTTTTTTTTGTACAAGCCTACATCGGAAAACAAACGGCCCTGTAACCTGGTCTTGTCTGCGATACTGTTGTTACTTCATGGTCTTCTTGCCACGAGACAACAGAAACGGCATTACGGAGGAGGACTGTTTCCCTTTTCCCCTGGTTTCCCGCGCTGTTCGTAAATACTCGTCGCGATGAAACGGCGCGTCTGCACGCAAAAAGTCGCTCGTATTTCTAGATTCGTTTTGCTCGTTGTGGAAGTCACTTCATGGAACGCAATTTAAAAAGCTCGTCTGCTGTCGTCGGTTACGATCCGCTCGACTTTCTGTTAAAATATTGAATCCTCTGTGTATAATTCGACGCTTGGATTACACAGCGGTTTGCGGCGGACACGTTTTAAACGATGTAAATATTTACTCGGTACGACGAGATTAATCGGTGTAAATTCTTCGAAACGTTATAAAACTCGTTAATTCGTTTTTGATTCTCGGTGTTGAGCTTTGAACATTTTTGATTACGTTGGGCAGTTTCCGTTACAGAATGCGATAATTCTCGCTACTCTTTTCGTTGATTCGGTCAATGATTTTATGATTGATTTCCTCAGACTGAAAGACAGCATTTGATTTTTTATTCGTATCCCGTTTGGTTCTTCGTTTCCATTTTTCTATTTTACATGAGTACGTGGGTATACATTTTTATATAGTTTCTTAGGGCGATATCGACGTATACTTCGTCGATAGGTAATCGGCAGAATCGATCTGTAAGAGAAGGACATGAAATGTATCCTACTTTTAAATATTTTTATTCAAATTGTCCCCATAATATTCGGCACAGTGTGAGACGTACGTTCGGAGAGTAATCTTTTCTATTAAAATCGGTCACCTTACAAACATTTTGTGTTTCGTTATGTATTAAATTTGTAAACTTTTCGTATATCGTGACGTTTGACTTTCGAGGTGTCGAAAGAGTTTGATTAACAGCGGAAAGTTCGACGTGGGTGGAAACTGTCGAAGGAAAAGTTGGAGCAAACATGTACGCGCGCATTCGGAAATTTCGGGGTCTGATTTTGGGCAAGCGACGCGTCGAAAGCACTTATTCGCGAGCGATAAAAGCTGTGTTCCTGGCAGTGTTCGGAAAACGCTGACAATCCATGTTACAACTTATCGTACAATGACAGCGCGGAACAAAGCATTCGATGCTTCCGCGGGCGATCTGTTTTACTTTCAGGAGTGCGAATTGTTTTCGTGATTTCCCAGGCGCCTCGTGATCACTTAAGTTTCTGGAAGGCCATCTTTCATTGCCGGAAAGTTACTTTGCGGGAAAACAGAGACGCTGAAAATATCTCACTGTCTCGCGGTGAACCATGTACTATCAGCCTTGCCCGTCTCTGCGTTTACTTTTATAATTTCTCTACGGTATTTGGTCGAGAGGAAAACGAAAGAGTTTATGTTGTTACGTCGTGTGAATATGAATCTTACGTAGTAAATCACTGACAAACTTATATATTCTTTGTATCGGAAAATCTGTGATAAGAATTTTGTATAAAAACATATACATTATTCGTATAGGGATTGTATACGTTTGACTTAGAAAATAGATAATGGATTAAATAACTTCGATCCAAGTGAAACGTTGGAGATACAATTGCAGGGTATTTCAAGACATAGTATAACCTAACCCAAATTTTCCCAAGAGTGTCGAGTAGGTCAACCAGAATAGATACGTACTAGGTGAATTAATTCTCTATTACAATAGACGTACATAGAACAAACTACCATTTGATGAAACAATAATAGACCTCCATTTCGTATCTTTATTATTATTTACTTTTGGTCGTGGAGCTAATTTTCACGTTTGTGAATTGACTGCACGTAGAAGGAAAATTACCATAATAGTCACTTCTGTACCATGCAACAACATCTGTTTAATTCTCCTCGTTTTGCCATTACAGTTTTCAAGATACTTAATGTGCTAATTGCTACTGTTTCATTCTGTACATTCGCAATTCGAAGATGTAGGTGTTGTGCAAATTTAGTCCTTCTGCCCGCAGGGACTCTGGGCTACCTTGGCCTTGATGGCTACACCCGCACATCTAGCGACACCCCAAAACATACACGCCACCCCTTTGCAATTCAACACTATAGTAGGATTAAGCTGTGGGGCTCACAGATGCAACAAATTAGTCTTTGACCTAAACCCGGGCAAGTGCATTCGACCAGTTCGCACAAAGGGATCATTAATTAGATATACCTAAAGTTTCTCGGTCCATTAGACACGAAAACTAACATTTAATCCTCCGTTGCGTCAATTCTATTGCATCATACGCGAAAAAAATTATTTCAGTGTTGTTTCTACGTCGATTACTTGATCAACGATTCTATCGTTAAATTCAATTATTTACTGTTAAAGATTCGTTCCTATAACATTTTTTTATAAAAAGAATTTGTCGAATTTCACAACTTCTAACTTTCCATAAGAACTCCTCGATTTTCGATTCGCGTGCACATTATTTTTGTATCATTTGGCTAACCTTCTTTGTTTGCTGGTAAATACGCTAGAGACGATTCCCGGATATCCCGCGGGACGTTCTTCATAGTAGAGGAGCAAGCAATACCGAGAAAAGCAGATCTCCGGACGATAAACGACGAAGCTTTTCCATTACTTTAAACCAACATTTCCGCAAAATCGACAGTTTCGGCCGCGTCGCTAATTCACCGGTTCGCCATCAGCTATCCATTGTGTATTGTACCAATCGTACCAAATTGCTCTAATTGCGCCGCAGGACGTCGCGTTTCTCCGCATTATTTTTACATCCCCGTGCGTGTTCGCTTCGAAACGGGGCGAGACACGAAGACATCACAGACTCGTTAGAACTGGATGACAAACAACGTAAAAGTGTTCCCTTGGACGTATCTCCGAGATATTTTCCAGACGCTTGGGGTAGCAAATAAATTACTTTCCGTGCATCCACATACTTTGTCTTACTTACTCAACCAATATCTAGATGCGTAGATACGCCCAGAAATATACAGAATGTAATATTCGCTTTAAGCATCTAGACACGGCTGATAGAATCGCGTAATAGCATTGTACTTTATGGAAAAGGTTCAGGGCGTTTTCAACAAGCATTTAAATAGCAAAATTTAATCATTTTTCTTTTCATTAATTTATATGTGGTTATACTTTCTTCGTCGGTTGAAAGCCACTCTTTAGCTCTTTCAAACATTTCTCGGTAGAGTTTGCTTCGTTTCTAACTTACAAAACATGGTGAAATGTTTCGAACTCGTGTTGCTGTAAACGCGATGTAAACGGAAGATAGTTTACGATCGAAACTAAAATCTTTATTTGCCACGCGAGAATAAAATTTGTCCTACTCTGAGAAACGAGTGTCACGTGCTTGCAACGTTGATGGAACCCGACGAAGGGATAAATACCATCGAGAAGAATCTTAAAGGTCGCTCCTGCTGACAGACATTGAGTTACAACTATTCTATTTCTCGCTGACTACTTCCCTCGAAAGTGATTCAACAGCAATCGGCAATCTATCTCGCTCGTAGTTGACGAGAACGTGCAGTGAGGAATTTACAGCGCCGCGCCGGTCGAGGACAAATCCTCGTAAACCGAACGACCATCCGACGCTATCTGGTAACGTTGCGGAATATTAGCTCGTTATTCCGTTAAAAGGCTCACTAACGACCACGATTTGGGAAGCCATTCGAAGAGAGACGATCGGAAGTCGTTATAAGGCTTGAAACGTAATGTCCCAGCAGAATCGAGAGCTTACGCGTCTAATTAAGCCACCTGGACGCGACTATGCATTTTCCTTTTTACGATGCATTTTAAATCGTCTACGACGACTACCTTGGACCCCAAACCTAATTAGATTTCTTTAAATTTGCAACAAATTCAGAAATTCTTTGGGTGTGCTGAGTTGGTGGCTGTATTTTGCTGCCTAGATACGTAGTGAAATTTAATTACAATGTATAAACATTTTACTATATACTTATCGTATAATTATATGTTTATACATTTTCACACTTAAATTCGCGTCTTCGAGCACCCCTATGCTCGAGCTTGTTCGTTTAATTAAAGCTCGAGAAAGTCATTACTTATATTTTCCGACACCAGACATTGCCACTTGAGGTGGAACGACGATAGAACTCGAGTAACGAGATAATCGATAATTGCGTTCACTGGATTACTATTCATGCTTACACCGAGGTACGCCGATACCACAAACTTTACGTAAAATCCATTTACACGATAAAACGGTGCGGCGACCTCTAGATTTGCGGAAAACGCAACTTTGTGCATTCTTGTGTTTTTAATCGGAAAGAATGAAACGGCGTCTATTAAAACGTAATCAATACTTGTTGCTACAAAATCTACGAAGTAGCGAACTGTATTATTAGCTAACAAGTGTTGAACATTTTCGGCGGAGCGGGATCTGTTCGTGAAATTTTCGTTGC